ATAATTTTCTTGCCTTTGTGGTTTTTTTTTTTTTTTTTTTTTTTTTTTTCTAGGAATCTACTGTTAAAAATGTTCACTCTGAGGTTTGGAGTGTAATATGTTCTGGGTTCAATTTTCCATTTAAATGGATATTCCCGCTACTTTTCTGAAAATTTTATGTTTATCGGGTGCTCCGAAGATGATGATTGTTGGCGGCATCGGACCGGTGTTCAGCATTTTTTCTAGTTGAGTGAAATGTCGGCCGAAATTCTTTATACATGTGAAATTATTCACAGATGTGAAATTGAATGCTTACCTGAGAAACCCAGCAGTCACCAAAGTGGAAGAAGATTGAGAAGCTCATCGACGAATTTTGAGGGTGTTTGTTCTTACAAGAATCAACCATGAATGGCAGCAGGATTAAGTTTTTCCTCAGCTAATTCCAAGTCGTGGGATATTTATTTTTTAGTCAATGTGTAATGGAGGGTGACAGACCGTGATGTGCACAAATCATCATCCACAAAGCTATAACAAAACATAAGAGAAATTGGTGTGCTTTTTCATCCTGTCTCATCTGAGTTCCTTTTTGCATCTATGGTGATCGCATCCTGCAAAAAAGGTTTGGTTCCCTCACTTAGGATTTGCATGCTGTTTTTTTCATCTAAACATGTTGCTTAGACTATATATCGTATCTGTTGTTGACTTGCACAGATGGTGATTGTTTTTATGGCTAATGGCTTTTCTGAAGTTGTTTGGTTATTATTGGATTATTACCTGAGATATTCTCTGGGTGTTGTAAGTTGCATTATGGTCCAACTTCTTTTTATATTCCTTTGTTGAGTTCGTTTTGGATAATTTATGAGATATTTGAGACAGGAAATTGGATTGATCTGAGATATTTGTTTTAGAGAGTGAATAATAGAATTGGAAATCAGAGCGAGCAAAGGAATCAATCAGGTTGGCTAAGTTTCACAACCAACAAGAAGGCAAAAGGGAGGAGACAACAGAGAAGAGGAACAAACCTTGCAGGAACTCAAGTCTACTCTCAAAGGTGAATCTCGCATTCTTCTTTTTGGGTTTCTTCCTCTTCCCTAATTCAATTGATTTCCTTTCTGGTAGATTTAGAATCAGTGCAAAGGAATGACAATGTTTTACTGGCTTTTAAGTTTTATTTATAATTTTGAGTGGTTTTCAATTTTCTAGTTTGTTGTTGTTTTCCTTGCTTTACATTGCTTGAATGCGGTGAATTTGGGTGTTTTTTAGTCTCTACTTTCAATGTCAAGTTGCAAGATTTAGGCTTTTATTTTTCTGAGGGTATTTTTGGTTTTGTTATTTGATAAGTAGGAATCATGTATTTGAGGTATTTGAAGGTAGCGTTTTAAATTAGAAACGATTTGATTTCAGGAATGCAGGGTTACTTTAAACTGAGCTGTAAGTCAACATTTTTCTTTTGGGGTTGATACCCCATAAGAATCTAGATTGATTGCGTAGAAAAGTGTGGGAGAGAAAAGAAAACTAAAATTTGATTGTTGAGTATTTGTTTGTTGTTGAGAAATGGAAGATTCACATAACTGAGCAATGAAGGTTTATCATGTGCATTGCACAGCGGTTGGGATCAATTGCCTTTTTCTTTCTTCTTTTCTTTTCTTCTCTGTTGCTATTATCAGGTTTGTGCTTCTCCTTTGTTTTGATTTCCGTTCAATTCAGCTTTTGATTACTTTCTATAATTTGTCCTCTCTATGGCAGATGATGCAGTCAGAAGTGAGTAAATTACCATTTCTTAAATTCACCTTGGTCAGCCTTATTTTTTCAGCCAATAATGGACCGCGATGGCATAGGGAGATGAGAGGAGAGCAAAGCAGAGCTTGGTGAGATCTACATTTCCTTTTGTTCCTTTTCTTCCTATCTTTCACTCTCATTTTGCTACTCTCAGGTAACACTGTGACTGACTCTTCAATCTTCTATTCCATGTGCAAATTGTCTTTTTGCTTTGATTCTTTCTGTTTGTTTTCTCCAATGACATGCATTTGTTGGAGAAATTTTAGTATCAGATTGAAAAGCAAAATCCTTTTACGGAATTGAATCTGCTTCTGCAGTTTAGCTTAATTGAGTTGAACATTTCTCTTTCTTTTCTAATTTTCAGTTATGTCAAAACCGTGTATGCTGTTTTGGAGCATGTTCTTACAATAGCTAGAGCTAGGCATTTTTGATACGGGGATTATATGTTGCCATTTTCTCTCAGAGAATTACTGTAAATTTGCTATGAGTGTTATACTCCCGTCTAATTACTTGAGGAAAAATATTTTTCTTTATCTAATTTTGGTACTGTATCTTTTAGTTTATGTGCTAAAAGGTTGTACACCTTCTTAACCTCATGCTTGCTATAAAAGGTGCCTGGGTTGGTCAAACATTTGCCGGAGCTAAAAGCAATAAGTCTGGTGGAAGGAAGGCTTGAATTTGGTATTCAAAGAGGAGAGGAGAGCAATGGTTGAATCTTTTATAAGGAAGTTAGCAGATTATAGTTCTCCTCCCTTAATGATAATATTTTGCTACCGGTGAATTTAGTTTGCCTGCCTTAAGGTGATGACCAGTAACTCAGATTGGTATTTCTTTTTATTTCTATTGCCTTTTTTACTTTTTTCCTCAAATAATTATAATTATTTATGTTCTTTTTGGCATACTTAGAATGGGTTAGGTACTCTTAATTCTAGCATTTATGTGGTATTCTATAATTTATTTTTGGGAGTCACAGATGATAGGCAATTTACTGCCGTCTATGATAATGGTGTGAACTGTTATTGTGTTTGGTGGGTGATCTGTTGAGATAACCTTAAGTTGTCTCTTTGTTTCTCTCTTTTTATTCTTAGCTGATTACACTGTTTCCATTTTTTAGGGTTGTTTATAAGTGACTGCTTTGTTTTGTGGTGATTTTAACTTTTATTGTGCTCTGTTGATAATCTGAAAATAAGAAAAGTTGAGTCCTTTCTTCTTTCTATCTCTCTTTCTATCTCTAATTTTTGTTTCTTCCTCTCACTTCTTTCTCAATCCTTCCTATCTCTCTCATATTATTCCTTTCCCTCACTTCATTCTATACATTTATTTTACTATTTCACTATTTAAAAAAAATATAAAGAGCCTCTAATAATTGATTTGTAATTTTTTAATTGATAAGGAGACAATTTAAGCTTTAAGCAATAGAGTCAATGCATCTAAATCGGTTTTTTTATTCTTTAAATATAATTCTCCTCACTAACAAATTCCTTCCCTTTTTTTTAATGGGAATAGCCTCTGCTCTCACAAAGTGAACAGTAGTTCTCCCCCTCTGACAATGTAATTTTTTTCTGTTTTGCACTTCGCTGTTTCTTTCTTCGTTTCTCCATTATATTCTGGCCGTTTAGTCTTTTTACAAAAATATTTGTTTATTTTCCTTTTTAATCCTTGAACCTGGCTCTTCTCTTTATTTTTGACAAGTGGTGAAATTGGTATTTAGAATAATTATGTTAACCCAAAGTCATTTTCCTCTTTTGCCTTTGTGTTTTATTCCAGTTTCCATTCTCTTGAGTTTCGGGTTTTAGTCTTTTCTGGTTAAAATAATGCTTCTTTTCTTTTCTTTTTTTTTTTTTGAACATCGGGAATTTAGGAAAAGGGGATAATTTTTCAAATACTTTGGTGGGTGTTGAACTTTCAATCACTCGAACTTAAGCTTGGTAGTGAACCATTTTGCTGATTGGGCTGGATCATAATGCTGCTTTGTTAAATCATATATTTGATTGTTTCCCTTTTAATGCTTGCTTTTGTAATCAGATTGTGGATTGCAGAAAAGCTTAACATGCAAACGGAAATTCTCTAGTCAAAATTGAATCCCTGATGACTTGAATCGAACACACTAAGCCGCATTTTTGTTTTTTTTCATTTCCTTTCCTCGTCCATTCCAATTCCAATCCCTCTCCCCTCTAGCATAGAGCCCTTTCTTCAGTCATATCCACCTTCTTCTCACTGCCACTCATTCTACCCTTCCCTTCCCCTCTTCTTCTTCCTCAGCTAGACACTTTTAGCTCAATTGTCCTCTCTACCGCCATTCTCATTCCCTGCTGAGATGGTGAAGAAAGAGAGACAGTGAGAGTGTAGACCAAGAGTCAGGGAAAAGATCTCTGCTGGCTCTGGGTCTTCTCCTATAGTGTGCATGAGTCAAATCTGATTGAGATCGATCAAAAAGGTAGGAGAACCAGAAGGAAGGGGGAGAGAATGACGTTGGGAAGAATAGGGGAGGTTCTCCACCAGTGGTATGGTGAGAGCTTTTTTTTTTTTTTAATCTTTTTTATTTTTAATTTTTATTACTCTTTTTATTTGTCATTTTCTCTTTAGTTTAAACTGACAATGGGATTTGTATTTAGCAGATTTTTGTTACAAGAAATTAGAGGATATGGACAAGTCACTCTCATGTAAGAATGACTTTATAGTCGGAGGTGTAAGAATGTCCCCATTTTCCTTTCAGTTTTGTGGGTAATCATTTTCCTTCTTTTTGATTTCTGGGGTGAAGCAGGGACAAATTTAGTGGCACCCATGTGTGCCAAGTAATGTTTTCTCTTTTATTTTTATTCTTGGTTTCTATTTGTTCTTTCTGTGGTTTGAATGCTATAGGCTCTGTTGATCCATGCTCATATATAATGGAAAATTTGAAACTTAATGGGATTAATTAGATTTTGTTTGGGATCCGTTCTCTTGTTCTCTTAGGTAGCATAAGTAGTAAATAAATGTGCATTTCAGATTTTTCACATCAATGGTCATTGCGTCAATATGAGGTTTTGCGAAGAATTAGTGCTACTTTTTTGAAGGTGTTTGACACAAGTAAGCTGTGGGTGGCTTTTTAGTCTATTTCTAATGCTTTATCCCTTTTTCTTTATTTGGTCTTAGATGTTTAATAGGTTCATTAATTCATATTGTCATTTAATAATAGCTAAAGATTCATATAAATAGAAAAAAGCAATGACTGAGGAGAAATCTGTGCTTCTGTACTAGAAAAAAAGAAACATAGTGATGGAGAGAAAGCTGAAGAAAGAACATAAGGAGGCAGAGAAACTTGCAAAAATGATCACCTATGGATGATAATATTTCCTGAAAGTTTTTCAGCTTAATTTCTTTGTATATCATTATCTGTTTGTCCTTGGTGTGAAGAAAAAAAATCTAGTAATCATTTCTTTTACCTGGTCTGATTCCATTCATTTAATTATCGATTATTATGCAAATTATGGACAAAATTCCCCAACTTCACTAAGTAGTAATTCTTGCACTTATTCTTGATATGTGGCTGATAGGATCCATAGATCAAGTAATTGCTGGACAGCTTCAGGTGTCTGATTTAGTGTTCCTCTCCTAATACAATAACAATTTTATTTCTGTGCAAGTATTTGTTCTTACAATGTTAAGATCAGTATTTTAAACTTACTGGGTTTGAATTCCCAGAAATTGCTGATG